ATCAGTAATAATGAATCCTATCTGGTCTAAAATCAACCGAACATGGGATAGAAAAATAACACCTCCAGACTTCCTATATTTTAAGCAACAACGTGCTTACTTTTATTCTTCAGAACAGTTTCACATGAAGTGAAGTCATCAGGTCTGTGGTATTAATAGAGAGGACAGGAATCCAAGCAATTACTTTATAATTTGCTTCCATGGAAGCTGCTCCCCATTCGTCCTGTGAGATACAGTTGAGTATGTTGAAAAATTTTCTTTACTAGGAAGGGGCCCTTTGGGGACAAGGTTGATCAACAGCCGATATTATGTACACCAACAAATTCATGCCTAGATGTTTTTCACATTTTTTATGATATTTCAAAATAGGCAAAGAAGGAGTTGCTTTGTCTGGAAGTTTCTCTTTTCAACTCAAATTTAATGGCTCTGACCACGTCATTTGTTCCATTTTATCCCTCTTGTGGAATTTCAGTTTGGGGTTAAGCTACCTTAGAATGAAAACTGATTAAAGTGAAAGTTGTTCTGTGGAATTAAATCAAGAACAGCTCCAAACCTACTTTATGGAATCATAGAATCATAGAATATGGTTTGGGTTGGAAGGGACCCCTTGTCCTGTCGCAACAGGCCCTGCTAAAAAGCTTGTCCCCATCTTTCTTATAAGCTCCCTTGAAGTACTGAAAGGCTGCAATAAGGTTTCCCCGAAGTCTTCTCTTCTCCAGAATAACCCCAACTCTCTCAGCCTTTCTTCATAGGAGAGGTGTTGAATCCCCCTGATCATTTTTGTGGCCCTCCTCTGGACCCGCTCCAACAGGTCCATGTCTTTCCTGTGCTGAGGGCCCCAGAGCCGGATGCAGTACTCCAGGTGGGGTCTCACCAGAGCAGAGTAGAGGGGCAGAATCACCTCCCTTGACCTGCTGGCTACGCTTCTTTTGATGCAGCCCAGGATACAGTTGGCCTTCTGGGCTGCGAGCCCACATTGCTGGCTCATGTCCAGCTTTTTGTCCACCAGTACCCGCAAGTCCTTCTCGGCAGGGCTGCTCTCAATCCCTTCATCCCCCAGCCTGTATTGATACCCAGGGGTTGCCCCAACCCAGGTGCAGGACCTTGCACTTGGCCTTGTTGAACCTCATGAGGTTCACACGGGCCCACTTCTCGAGCTTGTCCAGGTCCCTCTGGATGGCATCCCATTCCTCAGGCATTATCCCACCAAGTATTTGACCCTTGAAAGGAAACGGTATTTAACTTAGTAAGAAAGGCAATAGCACAAAGGTTTTTTCCCTAGAGAACCATTACCATTATTTTACTTCCAGGTTTCAAAACCTGTTACTATTAAGATAGACAGGACAGGCTAGTAAGTTAAGATTTACATAAGGTTTAGTGGGACTTAAGTTTTGAATTGTCTTACAAATCTGTGTTCAAATAGCTAAATCACCTCAGATAGAAAACTTAAATTATTAAGATAAATTCTTAAGATTATCAGGATAAATTATTGAGAAGGATCTTCAGACATGCAACTTCAATAAGAGCAATTCTTTCTTGAATAAAGCTCCTCTCTCCTGAAATTTATTTCATGTTAAAAGGATTGATCACAGATCTTGAGTTTCACCTATTTTGCATGACATGCAAGATATTAAAAGGCCTTTCAAATCTTCCCATACTGATATTTTACCCTCTCTACACTGCTATTTTATCTTAAAGGACACAGTTTAGTGGATGGGTTCTCTATCTTAATTTTTAAAAATCTTTAATTTAAAAAAAACCACAAGGTTAGAGAATGTTGGGGTTTAGGATACCTCTGTCTTAAAACTTTTATGCAGAAAATAACTGTGTGTAAGTGCTAGTTGAGAACTCACATTAGGAGAAAGAAAGAAGAGAACAAAAATATTAGAGATACTAAGTACTACTGTAATACTGAAATGACATCCCTGTGATGGCTGAAAACATATTGTATGATTACATAGTTTGAGAAAAATAAAGCAAATCCTGGTCTTCTCACAATGAAAAAGTGGACAGAGCTCACTCGGAAGTATACATTAACTGAAGATTTACTCTCCCCAAAACTAGAATGAATGTTACTGTGATATACTCTTACTAATGACATTATTCCCACCTTTCACATCTATCACAGGATGCAGAGCACCAAAATATGATCTGTGAAACTATCATTATCTGAAAGAGACTTTTGGGGTTTGTGTTTTTATGTATTACCATGCTGAGCTTAGGAATCTAATCCTTACCTTTAGAAAGAAAAGTTTTCAAATTAAAAAAAAAAAAAACACCAAACTTTGGATTCTTTTTCTGGACTATCAGCAGATACTAATTTGAATTAATCTAACAGCTAACGAGTATTTCTTGATTTGAAACATGGTTGTTGTAGGCAGGATTATGAAGTTCCATAAAGCCTTTTATTCATAAGGCATTGGCTGTGCACATTGTGTTGAAAGCATTCAAAGTAGAATCAACATGCGAAAACAGTAGTTACACAATAATTTGAGGCATGTTATTATACTTTTTAATTCTCTTTTGGAATGTTGGAGTTATTTCAATACGCCTCTACCACAATGTCTTTTTTAATTACTATGAAAACCTTTTTTCTTTAATATGATAAATAGTGCAGCTAGTCCAGAGAATAGCTTCACGTGCACTATTTTGCTTATGCATTATGCACATGAACCCATATACAAGTTATAAATTCTATTTGATTAGAATGTACTTATTATGAAATTGCTGCATTTTTATTGCATCTAATTGAAAGAGTAACCAACATGGCTGATGACAACTGTATCAAGTACTTCACAAGGAGAGTCTGAGCAACGTAGGAGAACCCTTTTTCCTTCAGTTTGAAGGAACGTGACATCAAGTACTGGAAGAGTATCACAGATCAAATAAAGCAGCTAAGATCTGGTAGGGAAGACTGAAAACGGCCATTCCCCCCAAAAATGATAAAAACCCCCCACTTTCCTAGGAAAAAAAAAAAAAAATCACAAGTCAATTAGCTTTTGACTTTTTAATAAGCGCTTATAAAGGCAGAGCTTTAAGTTTATTACTGTGAAAGCATTCTGCTTAGCTTAGTGAATATAAGCATTTACTCTCCTGCTGCTTCACATTGACTACTGAGATTCAGTCAGTTGATTCAAGAGTTAGTCTGTTTATCCCCTGGCATTAGCTAGTAAATTACAAGTTCAAGGAATGCCTCCCCGGAAGACTAGGGTTTCATGGTAACCAATTAAAATAATTTTAGCATACACATTTCACTGAATAATTAGCTTGATAATGTAATGCAATAGAGTTATGACATGGCAAAATCATGTACTACAGTAACATAAAATGTACATGAATGGATGGTAATCACATACATAGAAGCTGAAAATAAAAATTGAGGTAGAAAAGAAAACTAACTACTTAAATTCCAAATTAAAGATTGTTTCAAAGACACACTCATAGGAAAATTACCAATTTGAGCAAAGTCTTACTTAATTTCTCTACATGCAGCAACATGTTTCAACAAAGGATTTGGCTTCCGCTGATGGAAACATTAGTTCATGGTTAGAAGAATACAATACTAAACCTCTTTTTATTTTAACCAGTAAGATAAAATAACTTAACTTATGTAAGATAATAAAATATGATCATACCAATCTCAACTTAATAAAATAAAACAGAAGTTTAGGGAATACCTGGCATTCAAACCAGATTTTTGACCTTTTGCCTTTGAAATACTCAGACAAGCACATTTTGCATCTCTTGTATTTTTCACACAGTCTATGTAAAGCTGAATTGAACCTTAGCACATCTATCCATCTATCTAATACATTCAGCTTACGTGTTATGCATATTTTTGTTCTAGTCTTCATATATTTCCTTCATGATTTTAAACTAAATATTACACTATACACTGCTAAAAGTATTATGACTAATTGATAAGTCTATACTTCCTCAGAGTCTTACTGAAATAATTCCAGTACTCCAGATTTCAGGTAGCAGAGATAGATAAACTACCAGACATTTAACTGGGTACTTAATAATAACACCCATATCTAAATGCATTTCAAAAATATGAATGGTGACAACAGAACAAGAAGTCATCAACAGGGACTTAAACATTTTTCTTGTTTATATTGTTAGAAGTTAACATGTCCATTTTTTAAGGAGTCTAAAAATATCCATTGTTCCTCAACTTAACTAATTTGCTTGTTATTATTAGTAAAATAATGGTTAAAAACATGGTATTTATTACCATGTTTTTCAAAGATGGATCCTTTTGCATGGGATCACTGAAAAACTTCAAATCTGAACAAGATGATGATTACCTTCTGTGTTTCTCATCTACTTACCTATGTATTTTAAAGACTTTCATTTATCAGCATTCTCTGACATTACAATGTCACCCAAGGAAGACGGGTCATAATTGTTTTTCATTGAAAAATTATTAAAAAATACTCATGCACACTAGTACAGTGGCCATTCTTGAAATTAGTCTTTTCTTTCTAACTGTTTCTTAATCACACCATAGAGAGCGAAGAATTTTTTTCCAGAAATCACCACTAACATTTCGTACAGATTTAGCATATTGGCTTTATTTTTCTAAATTCTTTAATGTGATGAATGGTTTCAAACACATATTATCCTTTCAAAATGCTGATTAAATAACCTAGATAACATCAGGAACTGAACTGCATGGAAAAATTTACATATAAAAGAAGACATGAGTTAGGGGGAAAAACATCACCTATGCTAAGAAAGCTTAACCTATAGCTTACCGGTCATAGTCTCCATTACACAGTGCTCTGACAGAAATCTTGAATGCCTGCCACACTGGATTTAATGTATTTTTCACAACTTCTGTTTTGTGGCAGATTGTAAAACTGTAATAAAAAAAGATATATTTTGTATTTGTTTACTTTTTCTTTTGTGTCAACAAACATGGAATCAAAGAGCTGTAATGCGTATTCACTCATACAATGTCCATATAAAATTTTACATAAGAAAAACAGAAATGCAGTGAAATCAGAGAGAAGGGAGGACTGAAAAGGACAGACCTGTTTGAGAGATATTACAGACTAGGGTGCTAAACAACTCCAAACCTAAAATGTTTTTACCCAAAATTTCGAAAGAATTACAACCATTCAGTAAGTTATTTCAGGCAAGAGCAGCCTCCATCCCACTTGTTTAAACAGGCCTTGTACAGCCAGGAATCAGTCACAGATCCAGAAAGAAAGTGGTCTGGTAAGGATTTGACTCTTGCTTAGCGATTAAGAAACTGAGCCAAGGGAGCTCAGTTTGTCTTTTCTTCAGGAACAAACTTTCTGATGCTTGTTACCCATTTTATGTCTATAATTTTTTAACCAGGGCTGTCTCAGGAGCTCAGTTTGTCTCTTCTTCAGGAACAAGCTTTCTGATACTTGTTCCCATTTTATGTCTACGATTTTTTAACCGGGGCTGTCTCAGGTAAAACACATAAGGCTCTGTGAGATCCCATGATGACCTTGTCTCAGGTGAAATACAATGAATTGTTTTAATGCATTCTGCTTTCTCTAAGTGATGCAAAATTAAAATACTTCTTTTCAATCCTCAACTTGGGGATTGAATTGTTCAAAATAAAATAGGAGGCAAGGTCACGGGTGAAATGACTACTGAATTTCTACATACAGACGTAACTAAAGTCATCCTTTGAGGGAATATCTTCCTTACGTTCCAAAGGCCTATGTTTTTATCCTGGCTATGATTCAGAAGACGTGCCTCAAGCTAAGAGACAGAAAAGAGAGCATCCTTCTGCCCACAGGTGCAGAAGTACTGCCCCAATCTCCTGTTGGATTCAGGAGACCAATAAAGAATCAGTGGCTCACCACTCACCTCTTCGAAGGAAGTGGAGAAGCATGGCACTCAAGGCCAAGATAAACTGCATATACCAGCACTCCCAGTAATGCCCAGAGAAATTCCACTAATGACCTTAATGACACTCACAAAGGAGCCATAACTCCTCCAGGCTTGCAATTTAAGATATTCAGCTTTATTCAGGAAGATGTGCTATAATCTGCCTCCGAGAGGAAAAGAGCAGGGAACAGACATACATATACCCATACATAGGTTTACATTAACAATTGTTCCAGTTAAGCTACTGAAACAAGTAATATCATACATGTCTAGCCTTTGGTTTGATACGATGTTATACGTGAGGACTATAAGTTTCCAAGAAATCTTAACCTGCCAGCAGACCCCCATGTAAGCAGAAGACCAGAAGTTAGCATGTCAAGTTTTAGCAGCAGAACAGGAGAGATTAACCTACTTTAACAAATTAAAGCATGAATGTAGCAAACAGCCACTTGTAAAAAAAATTTTCTATTTAAGGTATTTTTGAATTCTATTTCCTAGAACCCTGTCAAAAAGATAAAAGATATTTCCAAATTTGCAGTATAAAATGTTTTTACCTAAAAAAATTTCTAAACATTAGCATATTCTGCAGCTAAAATTTCCTTTGAGAATTCTATTTAATTTAAAGACATAGTGTATCTTAGCAAAAGTAATGCTATTTAACTATTTTTATTACAATTAATTTTCATAGTGCTCTATATTTATCATACATTCAACTCTTAAAACCCTGAGTGCAATATTTGATCTATTTGTTACAATAGTTTTATTCCTATACTGCATAATATGATATACTTAAATCCAACAAACATTATAAACAAAACACAGCTTAATCTGATAAATACAAAAAAAATGAAAACTATATTACCATCTGCAAATAAATAAGTTGCCTACTGTTTAGCAGCAGAAATACTTAACAGGCATCTACCTGCCATCTTCATTGCTTCGATGAAATACAAGGAAAGGATCCGATTTCCCAAAGAAGTCCTTCTTGTCTAATTTGTTTGCACAAAATTGCATTAAAACTGAATCCTGAAATGGGTAATACAGAAAAATTACATACAACATGCAGTTTACTACACTAAAAGTAAAAAAATAATCATTGACTAATAACCATACAGACAGAAAACAAAACAAATGAGGGTCTCTGCCTTCTAGACGCCCTCTACACATTCGTATTCCTGCAATGTCCTTATAGTGCAGTTTGAACTGCTGGAACCAAGAATTCCTTTGTAGGGGGATGCAGAAGAAGGGTAAATTTCTATGCTAAAAGCCTCAGGATTTTTCCAGTATTTTTTGACATCCAAAGTTGCATTCTGAGGGAAGTAGATGCACAGGCAAGGAATGCACATTAGAATTAATTTTAAAAACTCCACTGAGACACAACAAAACCTCGTTCCTTCAGTGACTTAAACCTGCAGTTGTCTGCTCCTGCTGTCTGTAAAGCAAATGGCTTAGCAGCTTGCTATTAAGAGTCTAGAAGCTTCCAGAAAATGAGCCTGGAAGATACCAAATACACCCATTCTGATGACAAATAAGGAGAAAAGTTTCTTTGCTGTGGTCAGGCAAACTGATAGTCACACATGGTCACCTCTTTGGGCAGCCAAGAATGCAAGAAGGATTATAAATGCAAAGATAAACCTGCAGACTCAGCAGCTAACTGGGGCAGGGCCTGCTAGAAGAGTGTGTTTCATAAACAGGTCCACAGGTGTAACAGCAATGACAGGAAGACTAGGGAAAATGTGGGCTCACCACTGAGTGGGGCAAGGGACCAGATGACAAAGGACATGGAAAAGTCCATGTTTCTCATAGCCTTCTATGCCTTGATCTTTACTGGTAAGATTTGCCTTCAAGAATCTTGGGCATCTGAGACCCAGACCTGAGAAAGTTTGCAACAAGGATGACTTGCCCTTGGTAGAGGAGGACCAGGTAAGGGAACATTTAAACAGATTAGACATACAGAAGTCCATGGGACCTGATGGGATGCACCTGTGAGTGCTGATGGAGTTGGCCAATCAAAAGTGAGGCCACTTTTGATTATCTGTGGAAAGTCGTGATCTTCAGGAGAAGTTCCTGAGGACTGGGAGAAAGCAAATGTCACTCCTATCTTCGAGAAAGGGCAAGGAAGAGGATCCAGGCCAGTCTTGCCTCAATTCCTGAGAAGATGATAGAGCAAATAATCCTGGAAAACATTTCCAAACACATGAAAGACAAGAAGGTGGCTGAGAGTCAATCAGCATGGATTTACAAAGGGGAAATTCATGACTGATCAACCTGAAGCCTTCCCTCATGAAATGAGTGGCTCTAGTGGATGTTGTTTATCTTGACCTTAGACATTGTCTCCCATAATATCCTTGTTCACAAACTGATGAATTACAGACTAGATAACTGGACAGTGAGGTGGACTGAAAACTGGCTGAACTGTTGGGCTTCAAAGCGTCATGATCAGTGGCACAAAGTCCGGCTGAAGACACCAGTTACTAGAGGTGTACCCCAGGTGTCAAAAATGGGGCCAATAATACTTAACATCTTCATCAATAACCTGGATGATGGGACAGAGTAGACCCTCAGGAAGTTTGCAAATGATACAAAAGTAGAAGTAGTGGCTTATACACCAGATGGTTGTGCTGCCATTCAGAGGCACCTGTACAGGCTGGAAAAACAAACCAATGGAGTTCAACAGAGAGAAATGCCAAGTACTGCACTTGGACGGGAATAAACCCATGCACCAGTACAGGCTGCAGGCCAAACAGCTGGAAAGCAGCTTTGCAGAAAAGGACTGGGGGGTCTTGGTGGACACCAAGTTGACCAATGTGCCCTTGGCAGCAAAGAAGGCCAATAGTCTCCTGGGCTGCATTAGGAAGAGTGCTGCCAGAAAGTTGAAGGAAGTGACTCAGCACTGGTGAGGCCACTCCTGGAGTAGTGTGTTCAGTTCTGGCGTCCCCAGTACAAGAAAGACATGGACATACTGCAGCGATTCCAGTGAAAGGGTCACTAAAATGATTAAGGGATTGAACCATCTCTCATATGAGGAGAGGCTGAGAGAGCTGGAATTATTTAGCCTGGAGAAGAGAAGGCTCAGGGGGATTTTATCAAATTGTATAAATACCTGATGGGAGGGAGTAAACAGACTCTGCTTAGTAGTATCCAGTGGAAGAACAAGTGGTAACAGGTACAAGTTGAAATACAGGAAATTCCATTCAAATACAAGAAAAAACTTTTTTACCGCGAGTGCGGTGAAAGAGACTGTGGAGTCTCCTTGAACATACTCAAAACCTTACTGCACAGAGCCCTGAGTAACCTGCTCGAAGAAGAGCGGGAAGGTTGCACTAGACAATCTCTTCCAACCTCAGCAATTCAGTGATTCTAAAAATCCTTCCCATTCTGAATATAAGCTATAAAAGTTTGGCAAAAAATCTCAGAAGAAAAGTCCTGGTTTCGGCTGGGATAGAGTTAACTTTCTTTCTGGTGGCTGGGGGCGGTGCTGTGTTTTGGGTTTGGTAGGAGAGGAACGTTGATGGCCCACTGATGTTTTGGTTGTTGCTGGGTGGTGCTTGCACCGGGGACTTTTCGGCCTCCCGTGCTCTGCCAGGTGCAGGGGAAGCTGGGGGCGGGGGGACCATAGCTGGGGCGGTTGACCCAGCTGGCCAATGGGGTATTCCATACCATGTGATGTCATGCTCAGTATAAAAACTGGGCGGGGGGGCTCTCGCGGTTCGGGACACGCGAGGTGTCAGTCGGCGGGTGGTGAGCAGTTGCATTGTGCATCACCTGCTTTGTATATTCTATTATTGTTGTTGTTATCATTGTTACTCTTACTGTTCTATTTTGTTTTATTTCAATTATTAAACTGTTTTTATCTCAACCCATGAGTTTTCCTACTTATGCCCTCCTGATTATCTCCCCCATCCTACTGGAGGAGCGGGGTGAGCGAGTGGCTGCGTGGTGTTTAGTTGCCGGCTGGGGTTAAACCACAACAAGGTCAGATGAGAATTAATCCAAATACTGAATAACCTTAGGTAGGAAAATATCACAGAGAAAGTATGTGACAGCTGGAGAGGCAGCGCAAGAGATTGTGTGAGAGAGTGTGCACATGAAAGAGCATGACAGAGAATGCAAAAGACAGTGCAAAAGAGAGAAATTGAGTCCCAAATTCTTTGCAAGCTCCCTTCAGTGATTTTGAAATAGTCACCATATATATAAAATTTGAAGTGGGGTGAATCTGGGAGAACATGAAGGCCTTGGAAGGCACCTAGTATTTGTCTTCATTAAAAGGGAAAGAAAAAAAAATCCTGTTCTGATTATGGATTTAATGACATATTTATAACTTTTAAATAGTTTGTTATAACTAGGGTACAAATGCTGGTCTTGGAGGATAAACCCAGAATATCAGGAAAAAATTGCCTTTAGTCTCTTTTAATAAATGCTTGGGGTGATGGCACATGTCTCTTAAGAATGGTAGGAGCTTAACTTCTTAAGAAATGTAGAAGCAGGAAAGCAATTAAATGATGTACCCATTTTGTCATCTGATAAAAATGTGAACATTTTGATCATGTACTACGTACAACAGTTTGAGCCGATGTAAAACAGAGGGGAAAGACAGGCATTTTCCAAACTTACTCATTCGTACTAGTAACACGGGAATTTCCTACTGCTAAATGGGAGTTAAATGAGACTGAGTTGGTGCACCCTATTAACATAACTGCAGGACCGGCAGGTTGCCTGGAAAAGGCAAATAAGATTTGAGCCCATGTGCTACAAAATTAAGGATTTCTTTTTACTTTAAATATCTAATGAAATTAAGAAAATAAGGCCTAAACAGATTAGCTATTGGATATATTAGTAAAAAGAGAAACAAGACTACTGCATAAACAGAAAAAAATTAACCACTTATGATGTAGTATAAAAGTTAAAAATTATACAAAAGGTGAAGCATTACCCCCTCAACACCACCAAATTACAAAAACTAAGCCCCAGAAACAAATCTCTTCAAGCCTCAAGGTATTTTTGTAGGTTCATGTATCTAATCTTGCATTCTCCAGATCCCCTGTACATTCTCATCAAACGTCTGATACTATTGCTTTCTTCATTTAAGATTTGCTATCTTGTCATTGCAAACTCTTCAAAGATACACCCTACAGCCCCATCCAATATATACCATGCTTTGACAAACTGTCCCCCTCCTCAGATTCCAGCCGGTCTTTATCACCCCATATCTAATAATCCTTCCTTATTCTTCCTTCTAGTCTCTGTTTCCCAAAAAAAATACAATTTATGGATTGTTGCTAGCTCATTCAGTGCTGGGAAGCAACTGAGCTGGCCTGGCTGCCTGGTGCCTTCTGACCAGCAAGCCTCCTCCTCTGTCCAATCCACTTCTCCATGAACCCTAGGAGGAGGAGGAGTGGTGATGCTCTTGGGGAAGGTCGTGACCACACCATGACTCTCCCCTTCACCAGCCAAATTCCCCACTGCCCCCCGCACCGAAATTCTTCTATTTTCTATTAATTAAGTAGGCATCTGCCATTAATAGGCCAAGGAAGTCTTCACTTTCTTTAAAGAAAACTGTTTAAACTCTTCTTTTATGGCGATTCTTTGAAATACCTTACTACTTTTTTCCAATAAACATTTAATTTCACGTTTTTAAAATAGTATGACTCACTATTAGCATAAAACCTTTTAACTATAAGGCTAAAAATCCAAAATTTTACTTTGATGTTCATGTAACATCAATATTCCGCAATGGAAACATAACTCCATGGCTGAAACAAGTGGATCTCTGTTAAAAATAGGACACTAAGAGATTAAAATGTGATTAATTACTTGGGAAAACAAAGACTAGATTTAAAACTCATCTAAGAATCAAAAACTTTATGCTTCGTATTGTTTTCTGCTTCTTTCTGCTTCTGCTATCTAAAACTAAGAGTAACTGATAGGAAAAAAGTATCCTAACTTCTTACATATATCACAAAGTGCAAATTTATACATTATACCTTGACAATCTGTTGCAGTGTAAATCACAAAATCATTTTCATTTTATTTTTCAAAAAGCAATGAACAGACACTTACTCGGCAACAGCCCAGTTCCTCTGCTGTTACTATGACTGTTCCACATTTCTTCCCAGGAATTCCTCTGCAAGAAAATACAACTACATCACCTCAGTTCCTTAATACCATTTATGAACGTTACAACTGATACAGATAAGCACAAGGTAAGCTTTCAGGTCACAAAATTGATGGCATGCTATATACTTTCCCTTTTCTGTCACTTGTCGTATGTAAAAAAGTTGGTTTATCCCAAGTGAATTGGTAAATGCGTTGCATATTTATTCTAACTAGCAAAAAACAAATCCGTTTCAATTTTAAAGGAAGTGGCATAACAAGTTTGAATAGGATGAAATTACAATATTAGAAATTCTATTTTCTACCCTCCCATTGATGTTTTATTTAGAGATGACTCTACAACTTACTGACTTTTGAAAAGCAACCTTTTGCAAATTTTCCTTAAACAAAATACCTAAAACATATTTAAAACTATACGCCAGTCTTATTTTACAGTATTTATTCTGAAATGTTTATGAAGACACAGAATAATCTCACCATCGTATCAGATACAGTAGTTGTGAAATAAATTATAATTCACCCAGACAGCAATTAAAAACATGCTGCTGCAACACCAGAAAGCACAAAACAGATCCTTAGCATAAAGAACAATATAGGAACAGAAAAGCCACACATAATCTGATAGTATTCAGTGGCAGCAGCCTTTTGGGGGGCCGGGGCGGTGGAGGGGGAAGTACAAATATTTAGATGCAACTTTTTGTATGATGCTATACTATAAATGAGAAATTCTGCAATATCCTAATGTCTATTAGTATGTCCATTAACACACACCTTGGCAATTACTTCTAGATTTTTTTCAAAAAATGCTATTGCTTACGCTAATTTTATTTCTAGTTCTTTATTTCTTTACGTCTTTCTTGAAAATAATTATTTGAATAAAATTACTTTCCAAGAAGACATTAAGGTAAAATTATATTTTCAAATTAATTGTATTTTTTAGTTTTTTCTATGAGAACTAGAGGGCACTCCTGTTTTTCTGTTATCACAAAACATTAATGTAAACATTTGCTGTTGTTCTTATTTTGCTTATTAGTTTCCTTAATCCTTTTGAATTTTTTTACAATGCTCTACAACTTTAAATAAGTTTAGCAAGACTGTCGTATAATAAAGAACTGGTGGGAAAATAGCTCTTAAAAGCAGATAAAAGTTTAGAAATTATAAATAGAGGAGCAAATACTGATGCAAATTTATGCAAGCTCACTGAAACTCTTGTTTAGAAGTTGATGTTTAGGTCTATAAGGAATACATCAGGGAATGCTGCTCCTATACTGCTGCAGTCATTTGCCAGTAATCAGACAGATACAAGACTGCTCTCCCGGACCTCCTCAGTGCTACATGGTAAGTCTGAATTTCACAAGGAAAACAGTGGATAGGGAAACTATTCAAGTTTTTGTTGCGAAATTTTAAATGACAATTTAAATACATACAAAACTTATGGCACTCTTCCATTTAATGCAGTATGACTTATAAAGTACAATACCTTAAGACCAAACAGCAGAATTTTCTTCAAATAACAGAAGAAAAAGAATCTGGTCATTCCAAATGTTACACAGTATGATTCATAGTTTTAGCAGCATCTTCAAATCGTCTGTTTTTAAAGCTGTCACCCTTCAACAGCTCACGACTGAAAATTACCCATTTTAGCCTCTGTAGCAATGAGATACTGAAATTGAAATCTCAGATTTCAAAAGATGAAAAAACTGCATTTTTTCTTTTGAACAATACTTCTTGAAGCTTCAAAAACTTTTGAAATTTGGTAGTAAGAGCAGCAGTAGAAATGACTTAGTTATCAGGGTGATATTGACCTTACATGGTAAAATGTTTCAAGAACAAATAACCATGACCCGGCTTTGACAGGTAAGGAAGAAACAGAAATCTCAGAAGTGTGACTAAAAAACCAGAAGTTCCCAGCACCACAATTCTGTAGGTTATGCCAACTCAAATAGAAGGCACCAGTATCACAATTACCATTACCTGAACCAAAATTCTTCTTACTGAAGTATTTAAGCCCAGTTAACTGTGCCATTAGGGACATATTTGCGACATAGTCTGGGCTGTGACAGTACTTTGAAGAAAAAGCATCAAACATTTCCTTTGGTATGAAAAGTCAAATAGATTTATCCCACTTCCAAAAGATTATTGTGTCAGATGCTGGATTGTGAAAAGTACAACTCTGATCATCTCCTGAAGAGCTGGAGGCCTGAAGTAAACTATTGACAAGCAAGCCCCGTTTCTGACAAACTAGTCACCAAACAGTTGCCATTTGATAGAGAACCTTGTGCCACCCTGCCTGCAGTTATAACACATGGCAGTCAACACCTGCCTGTCTCAAACTGAGATTTGCACATGAAGCCATTTATGCGAAGACATGCTTCATTTCATCTTATGAACATGAAGGCCAAGGGAGGCCTAGCCCCAAGAGACACAGGTGTCTGGAATTATCACTCTGAAGGATGGGGGAAACTGGAGAGGCAATCCCCTGAAAATATTTGGGTGGGTATGTCAGGAAAAAAAAAAAAGGAATTCTTGAGTGTTTAGTAGACGTGAAAAGTACACACAGTATATCTGAAAGTGCTTGGGGTAAGGTTTGGCTTGATGTATCACCAAGGTTCTCAAGGACACGTGCCTTACAAAAGAAGGATAATATTACCGTGATGGCTGGCGAAGAGGTGAAATGCCTTAATTGAGATTAGCACAGAATTTCTCTACAGAACAAAAAGTTCTCATTATTCAGGAACTAAAAACTCTACCAAATGACCTCTACAGTTTGTGATGCTATTAAGTATGCTTGTCTTGACACTACAAGCATGAAAAAAGTACTGGACCATTTGCAGACACTAAAGAGTTTGTTCTCTTACGAATTCCCTTACAAACCTCTCATTAAGAAAAAAATCCTTAAATGTAAAGTCAGCACCCTGACAAAAACTTCAGTGGTCACAGATCAGCCAAGGAAAGACTTTTAACTAGCAATAATGCCTTGTGAGAAAATAACAAAATAATTTCAAGCCAGTCTTATCACTGTATGAAAATACATTACTTGGAGATTCGGCATTACAGACCAGTCCTTCCAAATGCCAGGGTAATACTGACTAATATTACCTTGAAGACAAGCATGTAAGAGTTCCACCCGTTTAAATCCAGAATGCAGTGCCACTGCCCATCTTCTGGGGGTGAAGCTGTTATTGAGCTGCCCTGGAATTGGTTCTATAGCACTGAAGTGACAATACAGAATTTATGTTTAGGCAACCAATTTCTCAGGGTAAGTTTCTCTGGAAAGGGTAACAGATCAGGGTTTGTGGTGTAATAACGAGGCAATCTGTATTGCATAACCACTGTCAACTCCAACACTCAGTGCTAGTTATCTGACACTCAGATATAGAAAATGTGCCAGTCTAAGTGTGAATAGGATGCAAACTGAATAAAGGAAGGTAAAATGTGAGGAAGATCTATGTTTCAGTGGGTCCTACTGGTCTGAGAGCCCAGAACTTGTAGGTGTTCTACCTTGTTTTGGACAGTATTTGAGGAAGCAATATTTGGACAGTATTTGAGGGAGCAAATAATTTGAGTGTTAGAGGAATCGAACAGAAAACTATCATCAAATGAAAGGTCCTCAACAATACCTGCATGTCTCTAGATATGATACAGTCTTGAGGAGTAATTATTGTCTCCTTAGAACAAATGATTCCACGATTCAGACACCACATCTGCAGCACCTACAGAAGTTTGAAAAGACACTCTGAAGACCACTTGGGCTTTAACAAGGACTGAATGGAGGACCTTCCCGGAGTTGGTGAAAAAGTGAGAGAAAGATGACAATTTATCTGGGAATTCAAACCTGAGAGGTTAAACAGAGCTTCCAATCTTGCAAGCTGAAACTGCAATGAGGCAGAGGATGGAACATTTTTCAGATCATTCAAAAATTTACAGTATTATCCCTGAATTTACAGAACCTAGCCCTCTGGCAGCCACAACCACAGGTAAGAGGATAGGACAAATATATAGGAAGTCCCAATTCCAGGGTTCAGATGTTTTTCTATCAATTATGTCCACAGCAAGATGACAGAAAATAGGCCAGCTGGCTCCAGTACAGCCTCATTAGCAGGCAATGGCACTCAGATGTGAGTAACTAGCATAGAATGCTCATTAAGCTTTGCAATGGCTCTGCCTCCTCATTAAAGGGAATCCCTACAGGAATGCACTTAGTAGATCCTGAAAGCAGCATTGCTCAGAGTTATAAATGTGACTAGCATCTTCTCTCTAGGAATACAGAACATGCAAATATCTAATTCTGAACAATGTCTGGGAAGGTGATGCTTTCTTGAGAGAAAAATAAAGCTGTGTCATTTCTGGAAGTAGATACATCTGCTCCTCATCCTTCCATGCTAACACAACCAGGGCATGCAAGGCCAGTCTGAGTAAATCTTACACATGGAGCTTGTCTTGAGAAGGCATTTAATGAATCTAGTAACCCAATAGACAAAGAGTGTAAACGTTACTGTTAACATGTCAGATTCTCCATTTCACCTGCTTTGTATGACTACATTTATTTTCCAAGAGAAATTATCCAGAGTAAATGGTCACCTCTGTATCTGGCCAGTCTGTAAAATAAAGTGCGACACTAAAGTACGTTCTTGAACAAAACCACTCATAGTCATAGGGATAACAGGCTAGCGCACCATATGGGGAGCAAGAGTCCTCTGCGACAGACTGCATCGAATTCAAAGCTCTTAATGGTGTCAGAAACAGAGAGGGAGATTCAGGAGACATCCTCATACTTGCCAAGACCAAATACTATTAGGTTCATGCCTCAGAGGCGTAATCCGCTGGTGCTTGTAAAACCAATGAAACTGCAAGTCATGCCTGTCATGAAGACGAAGAAGAAAAATGTGCGTATATATCTTCACTTTTGCACTCACCATGAAGGTTAGTAGCAAGGTATGTTTCAGCCTGCCTGACAGACCACTGCAATGGTGACCCTCTAGGCTTGAGATGTTTTACCTTCATTTTGAT